TCAGCTGGTTTCTTTTGTATGTCCAGTGTAACATCTTTTTCCATGTAGCCTGTCATTTTTAACTTTAATGTTCAAATCAGTTTCAATATTGTCAGGTAAAACTTGTTCCTCTTCTATAACATCTTTAAACACAGTCTATCTATAGACGTAGACACTCTTAAAATTAACTTCTAGGTCCATTGTTCAAAAATATCCTTCAGTATGTCCCAGTGTTAAAATACAGTATTTTGGTTCATTCTCTATTTGTAAGTTGAGTTTAAGTGTTTGTCTCCTTTAATTATAATCTTTAGTTCCCTCTAGTCTAGTACTTCAAGAGAGTACTAAAGCATGATCACGTTGCTTTCGATGTGTGCAAGACAGTAAACTTGAGCATTCCAAAGGGTGGGGGAGCAGTTAGGAGGCAAACAAAAGCCAAAGGTGTGAAACTGAGAGATCTTGTCTCTTTCCAGCCAGAAAGCACAATCACAGTTGTGATTTTCCACTTAGCGACCACTTCACTTAGCAGTGCAGTTGCCGGTCCCTATTAGGGTCATTAAGCAAGGACTACCTGTATTTCTAATGCAAATAATAAACATTCAGTACTTAGGCAATTATTTGGTAGGCATGAAAAAGCAAAGTGATATTTAAATTATTCCAAATCATTTTCCAACATGAATTTTCATGGATTATATGAAATTTTAGTTTGGAGTTATTTCCTAGTTCTGTTTGTTCCATTGTTAGGTTAAAGAGCTTCAGTTGCAAAGCTACGTAGAGATGAAAATGAAGGCAAAGAAAGAACAGTATAAACAATACAAGGAGAACCCCTCCCTGATAACGTTTCATTGCAAAAACTGCAAAGAACCAAAGTGTTCGGGAGAAGACATTCAAGTTATTTTAGATATGCATCATGTCAATGTCAAAAAGGAATTTGCGTAAGTGTTCTAATGTCCATCTGTGTGTGTGTATGTGTCTGTATTACCATCAGGATGTCTCTTTTGATTGCACAGCCTAGAGGGTTTTTTTGAAAAACTAGTCCTTCATTCATGCCAATAAAAATGAAAGGTGTAATCTTGTTCTGAAGTTATCCCTCTATTTTGATTTAGTTTAACGATGCAGTGTGCCCCCATATACTAAAAGGGCGTCCCTTTTCTGACAGCCTGAAACAAATTCTTGTAATGCTGTATAGGAGTCCAGCCAATACAGAAGCAGAGGGCAAGGGATCCAGCACGTCAAGGCAGGGAGAAGCAAGAGTGGTGTCTATAGGTAAACCTCTGGGGAGAGTTATCAAATATCAATAGTTTAACAGCAAATAAGCAAATCTCAGCTGCTGCTGTAGCTGTTCATTTGTTCATTGATCATCTCTTAATCTGTGAAACACGAGTATGAATTGTCTTTGATCTAGTAGCCATACTGACTACTTTGAGTAGGCAGAGATACCAATAGCAAAAACCAAACTAGTTTGGTAGAACTGGATATTCCAGACACAAGTAGATACAAGCTTGTGTTGGAATATCCACTGCTGTGACTCAGGGGATGCAGTTAATATTTAACACCCTTGCCCCTCGCCCAGCTGAGTTCTTTATACCTCCCTTTTATACCTGCCCCTGATTAGTGAACTTCTAGTAGACACCATGGTAAATTCCACAAACCTAAATCCCACTGGCAAAAGGGTGAGGATTGCTGGGGTGTGGTCTTGGTGAATTATTCCCTGAATAGACTTGAATCTATGGGAAGTGTCAGTGCTGCCTATCTGCTGAGACGAACCCCTTCCTGCCCATAAGAAAAGTAAATTGTTCCATTTACACTTCAGGGAGCTTTATATCGTAAGGGAAAATAAGACACTGCAAGCAAAAGAAGCCGATTATCAAACAAATGGGGACGTTATCTGTAAAAAGTGCGCCCAGGTAAGTGCTTAATATGGATTGGTTAATTTGGGTATCTTCGGGTTGGTCCTGGGCTGGATCCTCCAAATACTGCAGAGGCACATCTCCCGACATCCCTGATTTTGATTATGATGACGGCGGCTGCTGGGAATGGTTGTTCAGCAATATCAGATTCTTGTGTTAGTATATTCCTAATATCATTCTCTTGCTTTTTTCCAGACTTGGGGAACTATGATGGTACACAAAGGTCTAGATCTACCTTGCTTAAAAATAAAAAATTTTGTGGTGTATTTCAAAGATAAGAAGTGCACCTCAAAGAAAATGTACAAAAAATGGAGAGAGCTGGCCATTAAGTTTCCAGCTTTCAGCTTTGCAGATCATTATATTTCTAGTGAAGAAGATTAAGAAGGCCAAGAGATGCTAAAGACGGGAACTTTTTTCCTCCTCAGATTCCCAACAGCAAGCTCAAAGAAGCTTTTTTTTCCTGTCCGAATGACTGCAAATATTGTGCAAAAACCTGCCATTTTTTCATACCATTTTGGATTCTGTATTTCCGAACAAAAGCAGTTCAGATCTAAGTCACTGTGTAAAAAGGAGAAAGTAGCTCCAGGTGCTGCATCCCTAACCAGGGTGTAAAATGGTTCAGTTGTGGGAATTCGCCTTTTACTTGAATGGGATTTTCTGCAGTGAACAAAAAGGCCGTGCCAATATAGAACTAATTCATAAAAGATCAGGAAGATCATGTTTTATTTTAAAAATGCCAGTTCTTTTGTTACTTAGTGTGCAGCTGACACTTTAGGAAAATTCTTACAGAATTATAAAATACAATTCCTGTATCTGTTTTGGATCAAATTTATGCAACGAGACTCTGTTTTGCTTTGATCTGATTCTAATAAAGTAGATTACATGACAATATATTTGCATTTCACCTACATGATTTGCTCGTTTAAGTACTCAGCAGTTTGAAGTTTGATTTCTGTACTTTGTGAAAAGAAAAATGTTTTAAGTGATTCTTTAGTTCTCTTTGGGTTGATGGTAGATCGTTTTAGCTCCATCCCATATCCTCACTTTCCCTAGATGAACATTTTAAGTGACAAAATGACCACACTAACAAGTCTACCGCAATAAATAAATTTCTTCTCAATATTCCTATAAAGAAGTGAATTGAAAATACAAGTATTTGGCATGTTCATGGATTCTGATACAAAAGTCTGTGTTGCTTCCACATTTGCCCTTTTTATAGAGAATTCAAATAACTTTGCTGCCTCTATGTTTTCTGTGCTGTTTGTTCTCTGATGTGGCTTTTATTTATTGATTTACTTCTGTAGTGCTAACCCGTTCACCGGGCAAGTGCTGGTGAGCAGGGTTCTGGACAGCTTTGGATCCAAAGGCCAAAAAAAAAAAAAAAATGCTACATTTCTTTCTCCTTGAGCTGTGAAGCACCTTTCTGGGATCTGAAGCACTGCACAGCCCAACTGATGAAGCTTGTGTCACGAGTTTCTTTTTCCTGCTTTTTTTTAAGGACCAGCTAATTAGCTCTTTCGGTTCACTCACCTTAGCTACAGCTTTTCCAGAATTTTTCCTTGATTAGTCTGTTTCTGTTCTCTATAATCAGGGTAGAGGAGTATACTTCACAACTCCTTCTTTGCAGCCAAAGGAACTGTTCATTAATTTTTTTTCAATGCAGTTTTGCAGTTACCAAAAATAAGTTCCATTTGTATACTGCACAAATATCGCAGGTATTTCTGTGTGCCAGGTCTTCCACTATGAAGAGGACGTTGTTCTCCATCCTTATCACAGCCATCCTGTAATTACAGGGTCTTTATCCATTATCTTATTGCTTCTGGACAGCTGGTTATCATCTGTATGCTTAGGTTCATCTTCTAGGAAGACAGAATGATGTTTATTTGGTTTCTATGCCATTCTAATCATAACTCACCTTGAGCAGCCTACAGTCCAACAACCAGTCACAAGGTTAAAACAGTATATAACAATATTAAGATAAATTTCCCAACATTGAGGAATAACCCACAGAAAAAACCTACCATGAAGGAATAGAAATACAGCTACTTAGTCCTCAAAGAGCCATTGAAAAACCCAAGTTAGAAAGCTAGAGGACTTGAAACTTGTCTGATATCAGGGGAAATGCTGTTCCAGAGAAGGGGGGCAGTGACTAAGGAGGCCTGGGTTTGAGATCCCTGCAGATTACACTCCCTAAGGGCTAGGAGGCAGAGAGAGCCCTCTCCCAGATCTTAATGGGCAGGCAAAGACTGCTAGGAGTAGAAAGTTCCATGGATACCCAGGTCCTAGAAGAAGCAAGGTTTTAATGGTGACAACCAGCAACCCAGAAGCATACTGGTAGCAAGCGCAGTTGTTGAAGCAAAGGTTATTACATAGGGAAACCAAGTGATCCCCATAACATAAGCTACTGTGTTAGGGACCAACTGAGGTTTCCAAATGATCTTCAATGGCAGCCCCATGGAGTGTGCATTGCAGTAGTCCAAACAAATAGTGAAACAGTCCCTTTCTTAAAATATGAAATCGCTGGTGTAGTGCTTCCTTTGAAAAGTATTTGTACACCTTGCAGTTAAAACATGCTCTTTCTTTTTCTTTGTCTAAGTCTGGTTTTGTTGTTTGCTTCCATTATATACTGTTTTTATATTATTTGGTATATTGTGAGCTGCCTAGAGTCATTTGGTGTTGGGCAGCATCAAATCAATAAAACTGAAACTTGGAAATAAAGGGCCCTTTGACAACTCTTCAGAATTTGCAACCATAAAGACATCCAACTACTGCTTGCTACTCCTTCTGTCTCCAATAACTGGGGAGAAGGGAGCTCTGATTAAACAGTTCACTTGATTTCTGTCAATGGTCATTTTTACAATTAACATCTACATGTGTAAAGATAAAAATATATATTATACTAGGCTAAGTATTATATGTTCTTATGCATTTCTAGAAATTTTTGATAACTTTGTTTGCAAGCTGAACTCTCTTCAGCATTTGACACATTTGTTCTACTTTGTGAGCATGTAATTGTATTTAAGAGTTAAAATGATAACGTAGGTTAATTATAGATTCATGTATTATTAGGGCTGTGCAGTATTTCACATTCAGTTCCAAAAAGGTGCTTCGGAGCATGAGGGAGGGTGAACATAACACCTGTCTACAATTCTTCTAAAGCAGCCACATCTTTTCCCTGGATTGCACAGGGAAAAGTTCTCTGCATTGTCACGTGATTTTAATCACAATTTTGAGTATCTTACCCAGGAAGAGGATTCTGGCCACTGACTAACAGATCTTCTGGATCCCTTCCCTCCCCCCGCTTTTGGGAATGGTCTCATTATATGAAGTTGGGGTCACTCCTCCTAGGACTTTGTAACCACCTGAGCCTACCTAAAATTCTTTAGAATTTTCCATCTAAAGAAATAGATGGAAAATTCCCCACTTCCAGATCTTCAGCCTTCTGCCCTGTGGGGTGAAAGAGCTCAAGAAAGCTAGCAACAGAGGGACAATAGCACCTTTAGACAGACCCATGGTTGTCATGGTAACTGTAAAAACCTCAGCAGCTCAAGCAAGGCAACTCCATTATAGATGTTGAGGTTCCGCAGAACTAACCTTCTAGGAGTCCTTAATACCAAGTCTGAAATTATCTCTATCAGATGAGTAGTGAGATGTCCAGTGTATTCTGAATGCCCAACAGAAAATACATTAAAGATTGACACTTGAATGAACAGGAAGCCTGGAGAGAGAAGCTGAATTTGTACACTCTACAGCAACTACCCCTCCATAATTCTCCTGACTTGTTCTGGTGCTGTATTAAGTATCCAGGATGAAGTATGGAGAGATTAATACACAAACACACCAGCTCTCTGACCAGGTATTAATAATACATGGTAAATCAACCCTTTAATTCACCATCAGATCAATGAGTGAGAGGTATTATTAACTGACCTGGCATTCAGCAATAACACCTCCAAGTCAGAGGGTAATCCAGTATATCTACTATTTTTATATAATTTTTATTGCTTTTTAATAACAAATTAAAAAAAATAATACACAAGAAGGAAAAAAACTTTAAAAGATGCTATTACAAAAATGACAAAACTACAACAAAAAACTTAGTGTAGTATACCATTGTAACAGTAAATAGTTACAAATCTGTATATATTTAACTAATGCAAATATTATTCAAATACATATATATTTCCCATACATTTATGTGACTATCATTTTTTTAACTTACTGTATTTTGTATAAATAAGTCCCATATTTCATACTTGTTCATACAAAGTCTACATCTATAGACAATCCACTCATAAGTGGCAAGTACAATCAGGTCTCCAACCCATTGAGTGAATGGGGCCATACATTTATCTTTCCAATGCTGCAATATCAATCTTTTGGCCATTGTAAGGGCATGGAGAATCCATTTATGTTGTCCAGATGTCAAACTCCATGCACTAAGTATATAGTTCAAAAGAATATTATTCTCTGAAAATTTTAGCTTTTGTTGCACAATCATGTTTATATAGTCCCCTACTTTCTCCCAGAACTTAGTAAGTATAAGACATTGAAAACACATGTTTTAAAGAAGCATTGTCCTTATTACATCTCCAACAAAATGCTGTTTTTGACAATCCTTTTCTATATAAACGTAATGAAGTCCAGTAAATTCTAAATATTTTTTGTTGTATAAGTTGTAGTTTAAGGGCCATTGACACTCTTGCTATAGAAGATAAGACACTCTCCCATTGTCTAGGCAATATAGAAACCTCTAATTCTTTATTCCACTCATCC